CCTTCATCTTAAGTGAGAATAACAGCACAATTGGAAGAGCATAGTCAATGTCACTGAACTGTGCATGTAGAAATTTTTGAAACGGTGTATCTTTGGCTATGTGTATTTTCACCAAAAAAAATAAATAAATAAAGGTTGAGAATTTAGAGCGTTAATATGTTGTGGGGTTGTTAACCGATGTCATAAAACAACATGTGTACTACTGTTTCATGAGAAACCATTTGTTCTGTAAGCCTTCACCTGAAGTACAATAAAATATAAAAAAAACAAAAAACAAAAAAACTGACAGATCAGAGAGTAAACATTAAATGAGGAAGGAGTTAAGTGTACAGTAAAAGATGTAAATATCAAGATAACCACTAGAATAAAAAATACAAATCTCTCTAAATACCAAAAGAAAAATTAAAAAACAGCAATGAGGACACTGCAAAAAACAAAGAGAAACTCTTTCTCCAAACAGAGAAATAAACTGAGTAAAAATAGCATAACAGTAATACTAACATAAAATAATATGACAAGATTAAGACCAGACTTATCAATCACATCAATAATGTGAATGAGCTTAACTTGCTTATTAAAAAATATTTTCAAACTGGCTCATAAAGCAAAACACAACTCTATGCTGTATACAAAACACATAGAAACCACAGTGAATAAAAAGAAACGCTAAAAATAAAAAAATTAGGAAAGTTATACCAGGAAAAAAAAGACAATTTAAAAAAGAGGATATGTGATCCAGATAGAAGATAAAACATTAAATGAGACAAAGAAAGATACTTTATATAATGCTAAAAATCATAATTCACAATGAAGATATAACATAGTAACAACTCAAATAAAGCAGGAGATAACAAGGGAAACAGCTAGAAACACATGAATAATAGACTTTACACGTCATTCTTGGTACAAGACAGGTTAAGTTGACCTCCCCTGCCTCTCAAGAAAAAAGTAAGGATATAAAAGATCTAAGCGACTAATCAATAAGGTATATATTATGGATATATATCAAACACAACCCTGATAATGGAGAAAACATCTTTTTCTCAAGCACTTGTGATACACACAAAAAAACTGATCATATATTAGGTTGTCAAAAAAATCTAAGTTCCATAAAGTGGAAATATCACAAGCAATACTCTCAGATTGCAAGGAAATAAATTAGAAAAAATAAAATAAAATTCAGACCAAAATAAAAAAAGCCCTTCCAAGTGGAAATAAAAAAAAAAAGAATAATGCATGACACAACTGTTGGGTGAAATGGAAAATACAAGCAGAAATTACAGAATTTCTCAAAAATAATGTTAAAACATTACATATCAGAATCTATGGGATACACTTAAAGTGGTGTTCAGAGGAAAATTCACTGCCTATATCAATAAAAAAGAATTAAAATAAATGAATTAAATTCTCATCTCATAAAGCTATAAAAAGAACAACAAAGCAACCCTACCCAAAAAAACCAAAGAAGAAAATAATAAAAACAAAAGTAGATATTGATGAAGTAGAAAACAAACAAAAACATCAATTTAATAAATAAAAATTCTGGTTCTTTGAAAAAAAATCAATAAAATAGACAAGCAGCTAATTCAATCATGAAGAAGGTGAAAGTACAAATATATAAAATAAGAAATGACAGAAAGAAATAATTATTGATAGCCAATTTTAAAACACCAGAAGAGGATACTCTGCACACCTCTATACTCACCTCTATGGAAACCTAGATGAAATGGATAAGCTCTTAGAAAAACATAGTTTACCAAAATCAACACCAATAGAGATGCAAAGCTTAAACAGACCAATTTACATGGAAGAAAGAAAATTATCAAGGAACTATTCCACAAAACAGCACCAGGTCTGGATGGTTTACAGAGAACTTCTGCCAGCTTTAGAAACCAGATAGTTTCGATGATATATAAATTATCTCGGAGCATATAAAATGAAGGAAAATTTCCAAATTATTTTTATGAAGCTAGTACCGATATCCAAACATAGAGCAATAAAATAAAAGTACAAATATTACTTATGACTCTAGATATAAAATCTTAAATAAAATATTACTGAACAGACTTCAACATCACATTAAGAGAATAATATACCATATCCAAGTAGGAAAATTCAATAATATGGAATCTATTAACATAATTTACGATATTAATTAGTCTAAGGAGAAAAATCATTTTATTATCAAAGTAGAGGTGGAAAAATTCTTTGATAAAATTCAACATCCATACTAATAAAAATTCTCTCATTTCAGTGCTCTCCTTTGCATGTTTATTTTTCCATATGAATTTTAACATCAACTTGTCTAGCTTAAGAAAAAGCCACAAGAGGGGAGTAGCCCTACGAGATATTAAAACATACTACCAAAAAAAAAAAAAAAACAACCCATTGCCGTTGAGCTGATTCTGACTTATAGTGACCCTATGGGACAGACTAGAACTGCCCCATGGGGTTTCCAAGAAGATGGTGGATTGGAGCTGCCAACCTTTTGGTTAGCAGCCAAAGCTCTTAACCACTGTGCCACCAGGGTTCAAAACATACTACAGAACACCTAAATTAAAACAGTGGTTTGAGATACTACCCGTTGATATATTAGATTTCCATATGAAGTTGGGTCTATTTCTGGCCTCTCTTTTTTAACTGTGCTCCACAGGGTTTTCAATGGCTGATTTTTTTAGAAGTAGTTTGCGAGGCAATCTCCAGTGTTTTCTCCAGTGTCTCAAACTGTCTGTGATGAAGGCAGTTTTATTTTCTATGTTTTTTTTAATTCTTTTTTTATTATTGTACTTTAGACAAAGGTTTACAGAAAAAAACTAGTTTCCCATTAAACAATTAGTACACATATTGTTTTGTGACATTAGTTACCAAACCCACGACATGTCAACGCTCTCTCTTCTTGACCCTGGGTTCCCAATTACCAGCTTTCCTATCTCCTCCTGCCTTCTAGTCCTTGCCCCTGAGCTGGTGTGCCCTTTAGTTTCATTTTGTTTTATGGGCCTGTCTAATCTTTGGATGAAGGGTGAACCTCAGGAGTGACTTCATTACTGAGGTAAAATGGTGTCTGGGGTTCATACTCTCAGGGTTTCTCCAGTTTCTGTCAGGCCAGTAAGTCTGATCTTTTTTTGTGAGTTAGAATTTTGTTCTACATTTTTCTCCAGCTCTGTCCGGGACCCTATATTGTGATCCCTGTCAGAGCAGTCAGTGATGGTAGCCGGGCACCACCCAGTTGTGCTGGACTCAGTCTAATGGAGGCCGTGGTAGTTGTGGTCCATTAGTGCTTTGGACAAATCTTTCCATTGTGTCTTTGGTTTTCTTCATTCTCCCTTGCTCCCGACGGGGTGAGACCAATGGAGTATCTTAGATGGCCGCTCACAGGCTTTTAAGACCCCAGACCTGACTCACCAAAGTAGAATGTAGAACATTTTCTTTATAAACTATGTTATGGCAATTGAGCTAGATGTTCCCTGAGACCATGGTCCCCACAGCCCTCAGACCAGTAATTCAGTCTCTCAGGGAGTTTGAATGTGTCCATGGAGCTTCCATGACCTTTATTTCTGGCTTTTCTGTTCTATTCCATTGACCTGCCTATTCATGCATCAGTACCAGTAATTGGTAAATTTGGATAAAAGATATGACAGGAATTCTCTGTATTAATCTTTTGTTTATTTGTAAGTACCTTCAGAGGAAAGATTGCCTCATCATCTGTGAATCTCCTATGCCAAGTATAGTACCTGACACAGTAGCTGTTCAGTAAATGTTTGTTGAATGAATTGGATGAACCACTACTAATTTCCAATGGCATTGAAGAAGCGACACATGGTAGAGGGGTAATATATAACTGTGGACAAAGAATTATTACCTATTATTACCAGGAATGTGAGAGAAAAGTTATAAACCATGTGGCATGTGGTAAAGAAAAGAGGAAAAGACATTTATAGCAGAAAAAAAAAACAAAAAAATTAAAAATTAAAAAAATCAAAGAGCCATGAGTATAGTAAGAAAATTCTCAGCTATGGAGGGATCCTTTGGGCCTACCCTAGACTTGAGTTGGCACTTTAATCTTGAATTGTCCAAACTGTCCCCAGTGTTCCGACATGGTTGCTTTGGGCTCTCCAAAAATTTTCTTCCAAGTCTTTTTTTGCCATCTTGGCCCAAATCTTTTATCTCATGCAGTGATCCAAAACAGCCTGTCACTTCTTACTCTTGAATGGTCTCATGTAGCACCAAGCCTTATAGAAAGTCTACCCCTGAAGCCTTCTTCTCTCCCACTGTTTGTGGAGCAGTGGAGCCTGTGGATCCTTGTAGAGATGAAAGGATACGGTAGAAATGACATTGAGGAACAAAGAAGGAGATGCTTGAACAAGAGGAGAGGATGGTGGTCCGTCTTGAGTAAGTAAAGGAAAAAGATCCCTGGATTCATAAATGTTGCAATTATTTTAATTATAAGGACAACATCTGGGCCTATTATAGACTGAGGGCACAATATGGGGTTGAAAAATGATCAAACCTTGTTTGACTTGTATAATGCCTCTTCAGCAGATTTTCGATCACAGGCACCAGCATACCATGGCTTACAGTAAACGTCAGCTTCCTGTGAAATAGAGGGCATTGTTAAGCATGAGATGGTTTTTAAAAGACTCAGCAACTTCTGTGTATGAGAAACATAGGCTCACTTTGCATTACCAAGAGAGGTCTAACTACATTTGGATCAATAATTAGAAAATGAGTTTTGTGCTTCCTTTGATCAACCATAAAAATTATATAAATTGACTTTTTCCCATTTGGCCTTGGCTGTCTTATTTGGACATAACAAATAAATTCCACTAGGTTCCTGAACCATTTATTCTTTTCTCCTGAATAAGTTATGAACTCTCTTTTCATTGTTCTCTTATCGTTGTTGCTTTGTGGAGTGCTTTTTAGTTTGCGAAGTGTTTTTACAAATATTGTATTATTTGATTCCTTCAATCACTTTGAAGGTGAGAAGGACAGATGATATCATCCCTGTTCTACAGCTGAGAAAGCTGCAGCTTAAACTTTCTCTTTTTAAACTGTACAGTCTTGTATGTGTTTTAATATCATAAACCTCCACAGATCTATTCTGAGGAAATTACAGTTTAAATAAAATCTATGTAAGAGGAAGAATAATGAAGACAACACACTCTGCTAATTTTGAAGAGACTTGAACTGTTACTCAAGGCACCTGGAATGCAAGTAGAAATAAACAGAGCAAGGTCTTAATCATTGAAAAAAAAAATGCATTTTATACCCCGCAGCAAATGGTAACTCACAAACTGACTTAAAATACAGACCTTATTCTCAAGCTTTACTCAATGCTCTCTTTTATCAGAGGACATGCCCTTACCTGTAGTTCATTTCATACCTGTTCTGACAAACTGCAATTAGATGAAAAGCTGGGTAATGGTCCATCCACGACTGGGCTTCCCGTTTCTGGAAATCCTGAAAGGGATTTGAAAAATCAGTTAATCTTCACTATTTCTTGAGTAATATTTCTATTACTGTGGTAGGTGCTGCAGGGGACACATACACAACCCTAAGGCAGTGGTTCTCAATGTGTGGTCAACTATAAAATAGGGATGATATCATCTGTCCTTCTTGCCTTCAAAGTAGTTGAAGGAATCAAATGGTTCAAAGTGTGATCTGAGTGTCCCGAAGATCACTTCAGGGGGTCTACGAGGTCTTTTCTTTTCCAATTACGTATCTGTGTGAAGCCCGATTTTCTTCATATACTTCAACCAAAAGAACATATCGCAACAGGTTGAATGCAAAAGCAGATATGAGAATCCAGCTGTCTCTGTTACTCCAAACATTAAAGAGATTTCCAAAAATGTAAAATAAGACCATTCTTCTCACTAAAATTTTTTGTTTGGAAAATATAGTTGTTTTTCATAAGAATATGTTCTTTATGTTAACCTGTAATGAGTTTATGATTATTTTAAATTAATAAACATTTTTAAATGTCTCAGTTTTTATTTCTAATACATTAAATATCGATAAAAAGAAACACATCAACAAAATCCCTTTGAATCTGCAATGATTTTAAGAGCCTTAAAGGGGTCCTGAGAACAAAATGTTTGAGAATTGCTGCCTTAAGGCGTAAACTCCCTCCAGGAGTTTATAGCGTAGATATGGAGACACATGCAATAGAGAAAATACTTAGTTGTATTCATCCATCCATTCATTCATTATTGTGTGCCTGGCACTGATCAAGGCATTGTGGGGTATACAGCAGCCAACATCATAGGCAAAATGTCCTGTCCTCCTGGAGCTTAAATGGGGTGAGATAGACAATAAAACACAAATAATTATATACATAGTATTAGATAGTCATAAGTGCTATGGAGAAAATAAAACAAAGAAGGAAGTTGAGAACAGCCTTGGGCAGATAGTAAGTTTAAATAGGCTGGTTAGGGCAGGCTTCACTGAGGTAACCTTTGGGTAAGATGTGCAAGCAGAGAGAGAGGAGGCATGTGAATATCTGAGGAAAGAATGTTCCAGGTAGAGGCAACTGTGTGTGCAAGGGCTCTGAGGCAGGAGTGTGCCTGGCATGTTTGAGCAAGGGGCCCACTGTGCCTGGAGTGCAGTCAGAAAGGAGAAGAAAAAGAAGAGATGAGGTCACACAGGAGGCAATGAGGGGAACATGTTTATATATAGGACCTGGGGACCCTTATCATGACTTGAGCTTTAATGAAGTATGATATGGGGAGCCTTCGGACGGTTTTGGACAGAAGAGTAATATGATCTGCCTGTTTTTTAACAGGATTGCTCTGGTTACGGTGCTGGAAATAGACAGAAGGGGCAAGAACAGGGACGGGAGGCCAGTTTGGTGTTCTCCCAAACCCAGGCAGGAGATGATGGTGGCTTGGAGCAGTTGGCATCAATGGAAGTAGTGAGAGTGACTGGATTCCTGATATATTTTATATGAAGGAGTAACTGGAAGGTGTGTGAAGGAAAGAGTGGAGTCAAGCAAGGGTCACTCTAAGGTTTTTGGCCAGAGAGACCAGAGTTATCATTGATTAATACGGGGAAGTCTGCAGGAGGAACAGATATGTATTAACCAAATACTTCAGATGAGAATGCCCTGCACATTCAAAGGTGGAAGGCACCATCGTAACAGCAGTGGGCTGTGAAGGCTTGGGAGGCTTGGCAACACTGGACCTGAAGGAAGGGCCTATCCTAATAGGGGACGATGTTCTCAGGTGGGAGCAACAAAGGTGAGTGGGTGGTCAGGTTTTCCCAAGACACGCAGCACGTAGCAGTTGGTGGTTTCTGAGTTTTGGCAGTTAGGGGAATACACATGGCTTACATTTTCAGAGCCCCGAATATGTGCAAGGCCTGTTCTGTTTTCCACATATTAGCTCACTTCGTCCTTACAACAGCCCTATGTGAGAGGAGCTATTATACCTGGTTTACAGATTAGGCCCTTCCTGACCTCCCTATCTGAAATAGCAGCCCTCTGCCTCCATTACTCTACACCCCACCCTCTACCCCTTGCTTTATTTTTCTTCATAGCGCTTTAGAACTTACCTGACATGTTATTTATCTGTGTGTTCATTTTTTACTGATGGTCTCTTTCAGTAGACTATAAGCTGCACGAGAGCAAGGACTTTATTTATTTTATTTATTGCTGTATTTCCTGTGCCTAGACCAGTGCCCGGCATATGCAGATGGTTAATAAATATTTGTCAATTGAAAGAGTGGCTTGGATTGATAAACAATAAAAAGTATAATAAAGCTTTTAAATACTGAGAAATTTCTATAGCCAAATCATTTTAATTTTATATAGTCAGAATAAAAAAACCCCTATATTTAGTAAAAGTTTCATTTATTTAAGATGAATCAAAAATCTAATTAAAACCTTAAAAACTGATTTGTGTTTTGTTTAGTAGACATGCACATACATTTCTTTGTATGTGACAATTATTTTGTTTATTTAAACTAATTTAATCTTGATTATTTTGGGATATTTTCTAAATTACCCATGTATGGTAGATTTGTTTGTTTGTCTTCCGACATTGAGTAGAAAGCAAACATGGGTTTAGGCAATTATGTTCTGTGAACCTGACTTATCTGCTTCACATCCTTTTAGGGTGATGGATGGTTTGTCTTGGGAAAATTACACAGATATTTGCCAAATCCTCTTCTCAGGTGGCTTTTTGTAGATATATTGTATGATCATTAAAATGTATTTTAGCTTTAATTTAAATACCTATCATTTATTGAGGGACTTGTATGTACCAACCACTATATCAGGAACTTCTTATATGTTGTTTTAGTTAATCTTCTAACTTTGAAAATAGCTTTTTTGTTTTTGTGAAAAAAAAAAGATACATGATCAGTAGAAATATTAAATCAGTACTAAAAATGAAAAAGTAAAAACTGTCTAAAAAATATTTACTTTTCAAAACAACTTTGTGAGATAAATATTCTTGACTCTTAATTCCATTTTACAAATGAGGAACTAAGCTAAAGATGATACTAAGATCATCCAGCTGGAAGTGACAGTGTTGGTGTTAGAGCCCAGATCGGTCAGATGCCAAGAGCCAGCCTTAACCACTACCTGATATCGCTGTTCATGACTTCGGTGCACTTACTTGGCAGAGGGATGGGTTTTTGATGAATTTGTCTGAAAGAAATGGATTTCATATTAATTAAAGGGCGAAGCACCATATGAATAATTTTGACTTTTGTTTACACTGAAGATGCTCTGAATAGTGTCACAAAGAAGTCAAGACAAATAGCCAATAAAACATATCCAAAAATAGGAGAGATACCAAAACCTTAAATATAAGTAAAATTTTTTCTCCTTAGTTTTGAAAAAGGAGGAGCCTTGACTGAGGTTTTAGATTTTAGTTAAGTTCAGTAATTAAGGGGAGCCTGAATATTAGGTCTCTGCAACTCTAAGCAATTCTTTTAAAGCGGTTACTAATTTAGCACCTTTTTTATTTAATTACAAAGCAGTGAAATACCAGATCTTTACAGCATTTACAAGCCAGCTCACCATGTGGGAGAATAATGCAAGTGTTAATTCCTGCAGCAGCTTAGTATTTTGAAAAGAAAGGATTCTTACTTCTGGGCAGGAGGCAGCACTGGTGACTGCACGGCTTCTTGTCTGTGACTAGACCCTCGGTGACGTTCAGCAGGTATAGGTTTTTCTGAATTAGGAAAATTGTCATATTAGGATTAGAGTGAAATGTCTGTCCCTGCCCCTAAACCCCACAATATCATCTGAGAAGAATCAAATTTGGTCTGATCTCTTCCCAGAAACTTATCTTTTACCAGATGTCATTGGCTTGTTCACCTGTCAGTCTGGCGATATTTGTGGTATTATGACCAGGACTCCCACCCAGCATACCCTAACACACCTGCATCCATCCCCTGGCAGTGTACACAGGGACTGAACCCGTAGGCACTGGACTTTTAAGTGTGTGAGTACTAGTGGGAGCAGAAGATGAGCAAATTTTAGCTACCCTCTGAACACCTAACCCTCGACTTTCTATGTAGTCTCCACACACACACGCACACACACACACAAGTGTTACAACACCCTGGTGTACCTTGATGAGTTGTGAGATGTAGTATAAGTAATTTGTTACTAATAAGAAGTAAAATAATAGTTCGTGAATGATCTACTTTTTGAAAAATTAATTGGAGCAAATTCAACATTATCTCTATAATAATGTTGATCTCACTTTCATTTCACTGTGTTTTCCTGGATGGGAGAGGAGGAGGTAGAGTTATAACCAGTAGGTAGGGAAACGGACATAACCTAAAATGTAAGAAGTTTATGTTGAAGTCCACAGTGAATTGCTACTACTGAACTGTTAGTACTCTCTGAGGGTGTGTTAAAATCTGGGTATGTCCATGGGTGTGTCTCCTGCATGGAAGAAATGTTGAGAACTATTGATCTCCCACTATAAACCCACTACTGTCGAGTCGATTCTGACTCCTAGCGACCCTTTAGGACAGAGTAGAACTGCCCCATAGAGTCTCCAAGGCTGTAATCTTATGGGTAGACTGCCACATCTTTCTCCCGCGGAGCGACTGGTGGGTTTGAACCACCAACCTTTTGGCTAGCAGTTGAACAGCGCTTAACCATGACATCCCCAGGGCTCCGTATCTCCCACTATAGGAACCCAAAAGGAATGAAAGTAGTAAGAACTCAAAGATTTAAATAAACAGTAAGATACACTTCAGAGTTTGTGGCGGTGCACAGAAGTTAGGAGGATCATATTTCAAATTTGTGATAACCTACCCTGAGTAGCCGTGTTAGAGGTTTTGCTCATGACTTTACAATTGGGTGATTTCAAAAGGAGAAATGAAAAACACATTAGTCCCAACAGCCTAATGAGCTTTGACTACACCTGCTTGGCCTCTGCTGCCCAGGGGCTTCCTTCCCAGGGGGGGAAGGGGCTCCTAATCCTCTTTGGGTTTGGATGGCCGTTGCTTCTGTTCTTGAAAAAAGGAACAAAAGAGAAGGCATGCCAAGGTCCTATACTGGGAGCGCTTTGGAAAGGGGGGCACCAAGCACCTAAAAAGCCTGGGGTATGCCATGAATTCTTTTTCTCCTGATTTTTGGAGACTCACGAACCTTCAAGTTCGCACAGGGTTGTACTTCTTTCAGTGGCTTAGAGGCCCTGAGTCTCCACTATTATTCCATCCCTGATCAGCAGGCATGAAAGACCACAAGAAATGGAAGGACAAGAAGACAAAAGCATCAAAGGAAAGGCTGAAGAAAGCAAATCATCAGAAAAGGAATGACACTTTAGAAATAGCAAGGGGGAAAAAGATGTGGGAAACAGGGTGGAAAAACCTAACAGGAGCAGTGAAAGCACAGAGGGTGAGTTGCAGCGCACATTCAGAAATTATCCATTTTCCAGAGTCAGAGAAATGAGAACACAGCTGTAGAGACGCCCATTCTAACTCAGGAAATGGTGAGAGGAACACTCACTATAAGATTTTAAGATTGGGTACCTTCAAGTGTGGGGTTAGATGGGTAAAGGAGTATAATTTCTAGATAATGTCTTAAGTGTTGAGATTTGTGAGGTTTTCCCCAGTGTTTCTCAAACACAAATAGTTTTTAAAGTGGGAAAGCTCTAATTGAAAATATGTGTAAGGCTTTTGACTGGTGATGAAACAAAGGAAGGAAAGCATTTGAAAATGCGCTAAAACATACATTTGAACTTTGAAAACTTAGCAAAAGAATGTGTTCTCATTTGAGCAGATTTTAAAAAATTTTCATAACCTCAACTGAGGAATTAGTTCTAAGATACGGGAATGGCTTTAAATTTGTCTTCACATCTGTGTAGGGCCACTTGCGCTGTTTCTTGGCAAGGCATACCTATCTGCAAACAAGTTTTTAGCATGCAGACTGTAGGCTATTCCAAAGACCCTACCTGGTGAGCTCAGGTTCTGGTCAGCTTTGCTCCGCACTACTCATTGCAGAGTCAAGGCCATTTTGTTTAGAAAACTGAGTTTCATATTTACAATAGCTTTTAATGAAAGAAATTTAGAAATACATTTACATATAAATCCTTAATGAAACCAACTTTAAGAGACATGCTCATCCTTCAAAATAACGTATAGATTTACCTTCACAAACACTTGATGCATTCTGTTGAGAGGCAGTTGTAGTCTATATATATATGAAAAAAAAAAGCAATGATATTCAATATAGCTGAATGTGGTAATACAAGTCAAAGCAATATTATTAAGATCAATATTTTGGAAGAACTTTTATTTGATGCATAGCTGATCTTCCAATCCCAACAACAGTTAAAAACACACAACCCCCAGCTCAACTGGCTTAGCGACAACTGGCTGGAAGCATCTCATGGAAGAGGCAGTGTTGTCTTGGTTTGGGGACTTCTCTGCTCTGTCAATGGGGTTGATGGATACCATGACCACTGGGCTGTGCCCACGCAGCAGTGCTTATGCAGTAAGATTCTAGCATCAGGCCTTGGTAAGTGATTCTGTATTCTTGGTAAGTGATTATATATGTTAGGCTGCATGGCAGGTACCAGGTCAAGGTGGGCTTCCTTTCTAGTGGGGTAGCGCAGGTTCACTGTGCTCTGACTATAGCCAGACCTATGTGTGCCTGGGAGCCCTGGTGGTGCAGTGGTTAAGAGCTTGATTGCCAACCAACTAGCTACTCCTTGGAAACCCTATGGGGCAGTTCTACTCTGTTCTATAGGGTCGCTGTGAGTTGGAATTGACTCGACGGCAATGGGTTTGTTTTTTCGTTTTATGTGGGCCTAAGACACAGCTGTCAGCCATTAGCTCCCGGGTCAGTGGACGGGGACAGGACCCACAGGCTTAGGTGCAGGGTCCCATGAGGAAGACAGATGTGGTGGGAGGCAGGGACCCTGGCCGCAGTCTCTGATTTGCTGTGCATGCTCAGCAAAGCTGCTGGGACCAAGCAAGGATGCACTCCTAAGCAGCATCTTCCCTGGCTAACTGAGCATTTGAAGTTTCTCTTGGACCATCTGGCCAGCAACTTCAGTTGCTAAGAGAGATTGCTGTGTTCATCTTAGCTGGAAGTATTTTCAACTTTAAACAAGTGGATGAGAATAAACATTGCAGAAAATACGAAGCATTTTTAAACACAAAATTAACTTACTATCTTTAGCTGTGTAGCTGGCTTCTTCCTGTGGAATAAAAAGATTGTCTTTGTTAAACCACAGTGAAAACAGTTGGAGCTGACCATTTACCATTTTACTCTCAAATTTAACAAAAATTATGAAAGTGATGCAAATGTCTAGGAAGACTATCCTTGAACAATGGAGAGGGACAGAAGCAGGGTTTAGTTACGGTCCTCTTAACCTCAGATAGAGTCCCCTGACAGATGAGAAAGGGTTAATTGGGGTAAATGGGAGCACCCGTTGCCAGGGAGTCTGCAGAACTAAGCTCTTGTTCAATTTCTGCTATGAAGTACTTGGTGATCTTGGGCCTCTTTCTCTCAGCTTCTTCTCTGCTACAGGTACTTACCCAGCCCTCGGGAGTGGGGATGGCGCTGCAGGTGAAGAAGGTAACTTGGATTCCCAGGTCCTGCGGTTTTGACCTGCACAAACATATATACAGGTAAGACTCCAAGTCTTGAATCTGAGGTTGATGGTCACAGGGACACTGCACTTTCTGGCAGGCATGGAAATACTTGCACATTTTTTTTGTTGTTGTTGCTTTCAGTTAAATATATATGCGCACTTGCATTGAAGCTATTGGAAAAAAAAATGTGATGAAACATATTTAAGATGTCAAACCATAAGCTCAAAACTAGGATGTGGATTAGGGACTCCATTTTAACATTTCTAGATAACTGTTTCCTTACCCCCATGGGGCAAGTCCAGAGCTGCTAATTCTGAGGGCTCAGTGAGAGGGGAAGGAATCCTGGTGGCACAACAGTTAAGTGTTTGGCTGCTACCCGAAAGGTTGCTGGCTCAAATCCATCCAGCAGTTGAGTGGGAGAAATACCTGGTGATCTCCCATAAAGATCACAGCCTACAAAACTCCATGGGGCAGCTCTACTCTGTCACATAGGGTCACCATGAGTTGAAACCGACTCGACAGTACCTAACAAGGGCTCACGATTACAGCTATATGCTCTGCACAGGTGTCTAGAGACAGAGGCACAAATCCACCACTCATGATACACACACATATAGGCACTGCACATTCATAACTATACTTAAATACATAACCTAATTTCACATTTGGAAGATATTCATTCATTCATCTCTGCATTCTGGAGGCCTTTGTTCATTGCACAAACAGACAAATTGAGCAAATCATCCAAATCTCATCTTCTGAAGTCACAGAAGGGACTAAGAGAGCCTTGTCCGTAGGCCTAACCTCTCCTACCCCTACCCGAAGAGAAAAGCCAGATAATCAGTTGGTGAAGAATATTGAATATATCATGGACTGCCAGAAGAACAAGAAAATCTGTCTTGGAAGAAGTACAGCCAGAATGCTGCTTAGAAGCAAGGATGGCGAGACTTCGTCTCACGTACTTTGGATATGTTATCAGGAGGGACCAGCCCTGGAGAAGGACATCATGCTTGGTAAAATAGAGGGTCATTGAAAAAGAGGAAGACACTTGATGAGACAGATTGACACAGTGGCTGCAACAATGGGCTCAAACATAGCAACGATTGTGAAGATGGTGCAGAACTGGGTAGTGTTTTGTTCTGTTGTACATAAGGTCACTATTAATCAGAACTGACTCAACAGCACATAACAATAACTATTTTGAGGAGGCAGCTCTTCCCCAGTCATATTTTGAGTGCTTTCCAACCCGAGGTGCTCATCTTTCAGCACTGTACCAGACAATGTTCCACTGCTCTTCGTAACGTTTTCACAGCTGCATCCATTTGTTGAAACATCTCAGTTGGTATTCTGTCAATTCCTAGAGTCTTGTTTCTCGCCAGTGCTTTCAGTGCAGCTTGGACTCCTTCCTTTAGTAACATCAGTTCCTGATCATATGCTACCTCCTGAAATGATTGAATGTCGACCAATTCTTTTTGGTACAGTGACTTTGTGTATTCCTTCCATTTGCTTTTGATGCTTCCTGTGTCATTCAATATTTTGCCCATAGAATTTGTCAATACTGCAACTTGATCCCTGCATTTTTTCTTCAGTACTTTCAGCTTGAGAAATGCCAAGAGTGTTGTTCCTTTTTGGTTTTCTAACTCCAGATCTTTGCGCATTTCATTATAATATTTTACTTTGTCTTCTCGAGCTGTCCTTTGAACTCTTCTGTTCATTTTTTTTTTTTTTTAGGTTTAAGGTAAGCTTTATTTGGTTTTCTTTGTATTTAACAGTTATAAAAAACTGAAATCCTATTGATGCCTTCCTCACAATCCCAGACTACTACCATAAACCAAAAAAAACAAACCCGTTGCCGTGGAGTTGATTTCAACTCATAGCAACCCTATAGGACAGAGCAGAACTGCCCCAGAGTTTCCAAAGAGTGCCTGGTGGATTCGAACTGCCGACCTTTTGGTTAGCAGCCATAGCACTTAACCATTATACCACCAGAGTTTCCTAACATAGAAATCCTATATATGCAATATCTTTTTTTTTTAAGGGTTTTGTATGTGTGTCTGTGTGTGCTTTCGGTGAAAGTTTACAGCTCAAGTTAATTTCTCATTCAAAAATTCATACACATATTGTTTTGTGACACTGGTTGCAATCCCCACAATGTGACAGCACACTCCCCCTTTTTTCCCCGGAATCCCTGTGTCCATTTGACGAGTGCCTGTCCCTTCCTGCCTTCTCATCCTGCTTTTGGACAGGAGCTGCCCAACTGATCGCGTATATCTGATGGATCTAAGAAGCATGGTCCTCTTTTGTATTGTTTTTTATTTTATAGTCCGGTCTAATCTTTGTCTGAAGAGTAGGCTTTGGGAATGATTTCAGTTCTGGGTTAACAGAGCATCTGGGGGCTATAGCTTCAGGGGTTCTTCCAGTCTCTCATTAAGTCTGGTCTTTTTATGTGAATTTGAATTCTGTTCTACATTTTTCTCCAGCTCTGTCTGGGACTCTCTGTTGTGTTCCCTGTCAGGGTGGTCACTGGTGGTAGCCGGGCACCTCTAGTTCTTCTGGCCTCAGGCTGGTGGAGTCTTTGGTTCATTTGGCCCTTTAGTCCTTTGGGCTAGTATTTTCCTTGTGTCTTTGGTTTTCTTCATTCTCCTTTGTTCCGAATGGGATGGGACCAATAGATGTATCTTAGATGGCCACTTGCAAGCTTTTAAGACCCCAGACGCTACTCATCAACGTAGGCTGCAGAACATGATCTTTATGAAATATGTTATGCCAATTGACCTACATGTCTCCTGAGACTATAGTCCCAGCCTGCAGCCCCAGTCACTTGGTCCCTAAAGGTGATTGGATGTTTCTAGGGAGTGTCTAAAACTTTGCTTGGTCAAGTTGTGCTGACTTTCCCTATGTTGTGTATTGTCTTTCCCTTACACCAAAGTTAACACTTGTCTACCATCTACTTAGTGATTCTCCTCCCCACCCGTCCTCTCCCTCGTAACCATCTAAGATTTTTTTTTTTTTTCCATGTGTAAACCTTTTCTTGAGTTTTTATAAAGTGGTCTCATATAATATTTGTCCTTTTGTGATTGACTTATTTCACTCGGCATAATGCCCTCCAGATTCATGCATATTGTGAGATGTTTCGAGGATTCATCATTGTTCTTTATTGTTGCGTAGTATTCCATTGTGCATATGTACCATAATTTGTTTACCATTCATTTGCTGATGAACACTTAGGTTGTTTCTATCTTTTTGCTATTGTGAATAATGCAAGGATGACACCCAGATACCAATCCAGATAAAGAATTCTCAAAAGTAAAATAAAGCTAAAACCTATTGCCTACAACCATCAAGTTGATTCCAACTCATAGCAACCCAAAAGGCAGAGTAGAACTCCCCCACAGGATTTCCAAAGCTATAAATCTTTACAGAAGCAGACTGCCACATTCTTCTCCTGTGGAACAACTGATGGTTTTGAACTGCTGGCCTTTTGGTTACCAGCTGAGCAATTTACCTACTTTGCCACCAAGGCTTCAAAATAAAGCTACAAAACCTGAGATCAGAGAACAAGAGATGCCAATTTGTAAATAATGACAACTTCAAAACAAAAAGGGGGAAAATGGTGTTGTTTCGGAACTTCCATATGGAGAGAAAATCAAGGCGGTCATCAAGAAATAAAAGACTGTTTTAAACTTAGGAAGATAAAGGCAAATTTCAGGGTAACTGCAAAGAAAATCAACAAATTTACCCATCAAAATAAAAAAGAAGAAAATCAAAGACTCAGTAAACACAGTAACAACAACAATGAAAAAAACAAAAACAAAAAGAAAATCCACAAACAAAAAGAACTCAACACAGAAAATTCAGTGGAACAAAGAAACTGTTAATACCACATACACACACACCACAAAAGCATAACAAAATGACAACAGTAAATCCATACCTATTGATAATTACAATAATTGTAAATGGTTTAAATACACCAGTCAAGAGACAGAGAATGACAAAATGGATAAAAAACATAACACAGCAATATGTTGCCTACAAAAGATACACATTAGACACAAAGATAAAAATAAACTAAAAATTAAAGAATGGAAAAAAATTTATCAAGCAAACAATAACCAAAAAAGAGCAGGAGTGGCAATACCAATTGCCAATAAGTAGACATTAAGGCAAAATCCAGCATAAGAGAAAAGGAAGGGCATTATATAATGATTAAAGGGTCAAGCCACCAAGAGGACATTATCATAATAAATATTTATGCACCCAATGACAGAGCTCCAAAATATGTAAAACAAACTCTAACAGTTTTGAAAAGAGAAATAGACAATTCCACAATAATACTGGCAGTCTTTAACACACTGCTTTCAATGAAGAACAGAACAACTAGAAAGAAACTCAACAAAGATTCAGAAGATCTAACCAGTTTGACCTCATACACATATACTGAACACTTCACCCAACAGCAGCAAGGTACACATTCTTTTCCAACACACATGGATCATTCTCCAGAATAGACCATATTTTATGCCACAAAGCAAGCCTCAATAAATTCAAAAACATCAAAATAATACAAAGTATCTTCTCGGATCACAACACTATAAAATTAGAAATCAATAACAGGAAGAACAAGGGAAAAAAATCAAACACATGGAAACCGAATAACAACTTGCTTAAAAACTGCTGGGTAACAGAAGAAATTTAAAATGAAATAAAAAAATTCCTAGGATCAAACTAGAATGAAAATACAACATACCAAAACCTTTGGACAGAGCAAAAGCAGCCCTCAGAGGTCAATTTATAGCAATGAACACACAAATCAAAAAAGAAGAAAGGGCCAAAATCAATATCTTAACCCAACATCTCAGACAAATAGAAAAAGAGCAGCAAAAGAAGCCCACAGCCACCAGAAGAAAGGAAATAATAAAGATAAGAGCATAAATAAATGACACATAAAATGGAAAAATAATGGAAAGAATCAACAAAACTAGAAACAGGTTCTTTGAAAAGATCAATAAAATTGACAAACCACTGGCCAAACTGACAAAGGAAAAGAAGAAGAAGATGCAAATAACCCAAATAAGAAATGAGATGGATGACACTTCAACAGAACCAACTGAGGTAAAAAAGGATAGTAATAGAATATTATTAAAAAATTGTACTCCAACAAATTTGAGAACCTAGAAGAAATTTACAAATTTCTAGAAACATACTACCTACCTAAACTAACACAAACTGAGGTAGAAAACTTGAACAGACCCGTAACAAAAGAAGAAATTGAAGTGGTCATGAAAAAAAGCTCTCAACAACAACAACAAAAGCCCTGGCCCAGACAGCTTCACTAGAGAGTTCTACCAAACATTTAGAGAAGAGTCAACACTAATTCTACTCAACTATTCCAGAACATAGAAAAGGAAGGAATACTTCCAAATTCCTTCTATGAAGCCAACATAAGTCTGATACCAAAGCCAGGCAAAGACACTACCAAAAAAGAAAATTACAGACCAATATCACTCATTAACGTAGACACAAAAATTCTCAACAAAATTCTAGCCAATAGAATTCAACAGCATATTAAATAATAATAATAATAATACATCATGCCAAAGTGGTATTCATATGAGATGTGCAAGGGTGGTTCAATATTAGAAAATCAATCAGTGTAATTTATCATATAAATAAAACAAAGGAAAAGAATCACATGATCATCTCAATCAATGCAGAAAAGGCATTTGATAAAATCCAGCACTCATTCTTGATAAAAACTCTCAGCAAAATGGGAATAGAAGGGAAATTCCTCAACATAATTAAGGGCACATATACAAAACCAACAGCCAACATTATTCTCAATGGAGAGAGAAAAACATTCCCCTTGAAAATGGGAATGAGCTAAGAATGAAGGATGCCCTTCATTACCACTCATATTCAGTATTGTACTGGAAATCTTAGCTGGGCCAATAATGCAAGAAAGGGAAATAAAGGGCAACCAAATTGGCAAGGAAGAAGTAAAACTATCCCTATTTGTAGATGATGTACATAGAAAATCCCAGAGATTCCACAAGAAGCTACTGGAACTAATAGAAGGATTCAGCAAAGTGGCATGGTACAAGATCAACGTACAAAAATCAGTTGGATTCCTCTACACTAACGAGAACTCCAAAAAAGGAAATCACGAAAACAATACCATTTATGATAGCCCCCCAAAAGATAAAATACTTAGGAATAAACCTAACCAGGGAAATGAAAGACCTATACAAAGAAAACCACAAAACGCTACTGTGAAAAAGAGACCTACATAAATGGAAAAACATACCATGCTCACAGATAGGAAGACTTAACATTGTGAAAATGCCAATACTACCCACAGCAATTTACAAATATAATGCATTCCTGATCTAAATTTCAACAACATTCTTTAATGAGTTGAAAAACTAATCACCCACTTTATTTGGAAAGGATAGAGGCCCTGGATAAGTAAAGCATTACTGACGAAGAACAAAGTAGGAGACCTCACAATCCCTGATCTCAGAACGTACTATAGAACCACAGAAGTCAGAACAGCCTGGTACTGGTCCAACGACAAACACATAGACCAATGGAACAGAATTGAGAACCCAGAAGTAAATCCATCCCCTACGGACAGCTGATCTTCGATAAAGGGTCAAAATCCATTAAATGAGGGAAGAGAAAGTCTCTTTAACAAATGATGCTGGCAAAACTGGATATCCATTTGCAGAAAAATGAAACAGGATCCATACCTCACACCATACACAAAAACTAACTCAAAATGGATCAAAGACCTAAAGGTTAAACCTGAAACAATAAAGTTCATGGAAGAAAACACAGGGACAAACCTAGAGGCCCTAATTTTTGGCATAAATAGACTATCAAACTTAACTAAAAATGCACAAACATCAGAAGATAAACTAGATAACTGGGATCTCCTAAAAATATACACCTGTGCTCATCAAAAGACTTCACCAAAAGAATAAAAAGAGAACCTACAGATTGGGAAAACATTTTTGGCAATGACATATCTGACAAGGGTTTAATCTCTAAAATATATAGAAAACTTCAACACCTCAACAAAAAAACACAAACAATCCAATTATAAAATGAGCAAAGGACATGAACAGACACTTCACCAAAGAAGACATTCAGGAGGCTAACAAACACATGAAAAGATGCTCTTGACCATTAGCCATTGTTGTTGTTAGGTGCCATCAAGTCAGTTCCAGCTCATAGCAACAGAATGAAATGCTGCCTAGTCCTGCGCCAACCTCACAATTGTTATGCTTGAGCCCATTGTTGCAGCCACTGTGCCAATCCAGCTCACTGAGGTTCTTCCTTTTTTTTTTTTTTTGCTGACCCTTTACCAAGCATTAGCTATTAGAGAGATGCACATAAAAACTACAATGAGATACTATCTTACCCCGGCAAGAATGGCACTGATCAAAAAAACAGAAAACAAAAAATGCTGGCAATGATGTAGGGAAATTGGAACTCTTATACCCTGCTGGTGGGACTGTAAATTGGTACAACCACTATGGAAAATGGTATGATGCATCCTTAAAAAGCTAGAAATTGAAATACCATACGATCTAGCAATCCTATTCCTGTATATATCCTAGAGAAATAAGAGCTGTGACATAGACATACATATGCACACCCATGTTAATTGCAGCTTTATTCATAATAGCAAAAAGATGGGAACAACCTAAGTGTCCATCAATGAATGAATGGATAAACAAACTGTAGTACATACATACAATGGAATACTACGTAATGATAAAGCATAATGATGAATCTGAGAAACATCTCACAACATGGATGAAACTGGAGGACATTATGCTGAGTGAAATAAGTCAATCACAGTAGGACAAATACTGTTTGAGACCACTACTATAAAAAGGCAAGAACAGATTTACACACAGAAAGAAACAATCTTTGATGGTTACCAGGGAGGAGAGGAGGAGGGAGGGGGAAACACTAACTAGATGGTAGATACGTGTTACATCTGGTGAAAAGAAAGGCAATACACAATACGGGAGAAGTCAGCACAACGTGACCGAGGCAAAGGAAGACAGAGAGGTATGCAAGAATAAAGGGTAAATATGGTAAATACTACAATATATACAATTCTGCAACAACAGTAATAACAAACAATAATCTGTGAGTAAATACATAGGTAGATATGTATGCTAAATAGGTGTGGGAGGACATACGGGAGTACACCCTTGTGCATATATAGGTATGGTTGTGGATATTTCTAAGTACATATCTGTAAGGGATGCATGTTTATTCACATATTTAATAGAGTACATAACCAAAACCAAACCCGTTGCCATCGAGTCGATTCTGACTAATAGCGACCCTACAGGACAGAGTAAAACCACCCCATAGGATTTCCAAGGAGCAGCTGGTGGATTTGAACTGCCGACCTTTTGATTAGCAGCCAAGCTCTTAACCGCTTACCACCAGCACATAGGGGGCATAATAATGGAAACTTCTTAGACATAACCAAACACCTCATGGAACTGAGCTACTGGATTTGGAGTCTAAGGATGGAAAGCTAATTTGCTGTGTAAACATTCACCTCAAGCACAATAATTTTTTTTTTTTTTTTTAAATCCAGCCCAAATCACACATATACTTTACCTGAAGCTGTCCCTGGAGGAGAAGCTGGCTTTGAAGAGTTACTTGGCTTGGTTGATCTGTTCACGGTGGGAGCTTAAACACACAAATATGCATATATAATGATTACAGATATATTCCACTGAAGGAAATTTACACTTATGGAAAAAATGCATTATGAAAATGATAGGTCAGGGCAGAGAATTTGCAAAGAATGGGATGCAAAGTTATTCTCCGTTAAAAGCAGACTTCACGTAAGAAACATCTTTAGAATAAACGTATTAATGATTAAAAGGAATAATCAAATTGTTTTATGACAGAGATTTTGTTAAAGTGAATACTGGCTAGAAATTTGATTTGCCTAACTGGAGGGCTGGGAGATCTAAGAGTTTTGTTTTTTATCAGGAGAAATGTATTGAAACAAAAGTGGGGGTGGGGGGAGCAAAGCAATAGCCCCTCTCCCCTGCCACATACAATTCTCTTGAATTTTGTGTTGTGTGTTTTTTTGTTTTTGTTTGTTTTGGGGGGGTGTTGGGGTGGAGGAAGGAATGGATAATGTGTATTTGGAAGAAAGGCCTGGAGATCTACTTCCAAAAATCAGCCCATGAAAACCCTACGGATCACAGCAGTGCAATCCGCAGCTGATCACGGGGATGGTGCAGGACCAACCAAGCAGCATTTCTTTCTTCACTCAGTGGCAGCTAACAACAACAATGTGTATTTGCTGTTTCTTAATGATGGGAAGCTCCGGAATTTAGATGGGTCTTGAAACTGTTGATAATATTTAGGGAGTGCAGGAGAGTGTCACTACTTGACAGCAGGGTAAAAGCTGAACACTGTTACCTCCAAGTTGTTACCTGAAGAGGCTAGAGGCATCACGTATACAGGATTATAGTCTTCATAGCAATTATATCTATCCAGAATAAATGTGCAGCTTTTTAAGATAATTTGTTTGCAACAGAATTTGTCATATAAAACAATACGGGCCTGAGATAGATCTACATTTTAAAAACCAAGATCCAGAGCATATTTCACTCTTCATTGTCTTTAGTCCTCTGCAGAAATTGCTTCTGGTGCAACATTTGTAACGCCAATATGGTGGCTTGTGACTTTTTGAGCACTAGGTTCTTTTAGAAATTCATTGTAAGTGAGGGCAGCTGAAGACAAGAACCTAGGTGCTTTCACAGTTAGAGATGGGAGTATTAAATCATGAACACAGAAGGAGGATGGAGGGGAAAGGCCATGAAAGCCAGAGATGGCTCACTCTCTGACGCTCTCTGCTCAGCAAGCCAAAGAAGAGCGAGGCCAGACACAGACATTTCTGAGCCATTAGTGTTTACTACCAAATAGTCTTGGATGCCCAGATCAACTGCTAGAAGTTTTCAGGTGCTTACAACTATAACGCTTGCCTTTTTCAGATGGAAGCGAACTGCTTTCTGTGGGATGAATATAGTTTTCATCTTCATCTTCGACAGGCACAACATAATCAGCCTAAAAGAAATGTAGAAATGAATGAGAGGAACGTTGTTACATTCATATTTTACTGTATGGGAGAGGTTGATTTTAAAAAATCTTTATGGAGATGTAATTCACATACTATTAAATTCCTCTATTTAAAGTATACAATTCATTAGTTATAAGTATATTCACAGAGTTGTGGAACCATCACCGCGATCTAATTTTAGAAGATTTTAGAAATCCATTAGTCACTTCTCTTCCCAACACCACCCCTTCTTCCAACAACTAATCTACTTTCCATCTTCTAGATTTGCCTATTCTGGACATTAAATACAAATGGAATCATATGCTATGTAGTCTTTTGTGACTTCTTTCATTTAGTATGATGTTTTCAAGAGTTATAAATGTTGTAGCATGTATCAGAACTTCATTCCTTTTTATGGCTAAATAATATTCCACTGTATGGATATACCACATTTTGTTTATCCATTCACCAGTTCATGCACATTTGGGTTGTTCCCACCTTTTGGCTATTGTGAATAATTCTGCTATGAGCATCCATGTACAGGTCTTTGTATGAACATAAATTTTAATTTTTCTTGGTACATACCTAGGAGTAGAATTGCTGGATCATATGGTAACTCTATGTTTAACATTTTGAAGAAGTGACAAACTGTTTTCCAAAATGGCTGCACCAATTTACATTTTCACTAGCAATATGCAAGGGTTTCAGTTTCTCCGTATCCTCAACAATACTTGTTATTTTTTTTATTGTTTTTAGGGCCATCCTAGTAGGTGAGAAGTGTATCTCATTGTGGTTTTGATTGGCATTTCCCTGACAGTTAATGATGTTGAGCATTTTTTCATGTGCTTATTGGCCATTTGTAAATCTTCTTTGTAGAAATGTCTATTCAAATCCTTTGCCCATTTTTAAATTGGCTTATCTTTTTGTCTGGAGTCCCTGGATGGCGCAAGTGGTTAAGCACTTGACTACTAGCCAAAAGGTTGGTGGTTCTAATCCACCTAAAGGCACCTCAGGAGACAGGCCTGACAGTCCCAAAAGGTCGGCCTTGAAAACTCTATGGAGCAGTTCTGCTCTGCACACGTGAGTCAGAATCAACTTGATGACACCACTACGACCAACAACATCTTTTTATTATCGTTATAAGAATTCTTTATACATTTCATATAGAAGTGCTTTATCAGATACATGATTTGCAAATATTACCCTCCATTCTGTGGGGTGTGTTTTTTTTTTTTTTCACTTTCTTAATGGTATCATTTGTAGCACAGAAGTTATACATTTTGATGAAGTCCATTTTTTCTTTTCTTTTTTATTTTTTTTACTTTTGTTGCTTGTGCTTTTGATGTTGTATCTCAGAAACCATTGCCTGACCCAATGTCACTAAGATTTATTCCTGTTTTCTCTAAGAGTTTTATAGTTTTGGCTTTTACATTTAGGTCTGTGATCCATTTTTTTTAAATAATATTTTTTGAGTTTTTGGTGAAAGTTTACACAGCAAGTTCAGTTCCAATTTGACAATTTCTGCACAAATTGTTCAGTGACATTAGTTACATTTATCACAATGTGTCAACATTCTCTTCCATTATGTTCTGTTTGTCCCCTTCCCAGTACTCTAGTTTCCCTGCCCTCCTATCTTCTCATCTTTGCTTTTGAGTAACTGTTGACTTTTTGGTCTCATATAGATGGTTTTTAAATAGCGCACCAAACTTATGGGTAATATCCTTTGTGTGCCCCTCTGCTATTTTGCTAAAAGGTGATCTCAGGCAATAGGCTTGGTTCTAGGTTAGAGTGTCTCAGGGCAATAGTCTCAGGGAGTCCTCTGTTCTCTACTGTTCCAGTTTGTCTGGCTTTTTTTTTTTTTTTTAATATTTTATTGTACTTCAGGTGAAGGCTTACAGAACAGATAGTTTCTCATGTAACAGTAACACACATGCTGTTTTATGACATTGGTTAAC